GTGAGCCACCATGCCTGGCCAATTTGAAATCTTAAATTATTTATTCATCAGTCTTAAAAGATTCTTTATAAAACAAAGCCATTCTGAGTAGGAAACAGAGAACAGAATTGCAATTTTGAAGGCAGTAGAATCTGTTTTTAGAGCCCCTGACACTTTCTGTCCGGGAGGTAAGTCAGAAATTACTGTTTTATATCACTTATATATGCACACGCACACACACACACACACACACACACACACACACACACACACACACTATAATATGTATTGTTAGTATCTATAGTTTTTTTTTGTTTTTGTTTTTGGTATAGATGACTGGGAAAATGTAAATATACATATATGATACTGGTTTGGGACATAATTATTTTATTATGCTTATTTTGCAGTTCATTTAGCTGAATAAAATTATTTGGATAAGATTTAATAAGCAGGGCAAGCATAGTGGCTCACACCTGTAATCCCAGCACTTAGGGAGGCTGAGATGGGAGTTTAGCTTGAGCCCAGGAGTTTGAGACCAGCCTGGGCAATATAGTGAGACCCTGTCTGTAAGAAAAATTTAAAAATAAAAATTAACTGGGTGTGATTATACATGCTTGTAGTCTCAGTTACTTGTGAACTGAGATGGGAGGATTGCTTGAGCCTAGGAGGTCAAGGCTGCAGTGAACAATGATTGCACCACTGCACTTCCAGCGTGGGTGACAGAGCGATACCCTGAGTCATCATGCTAGAATTCTTTATTTACAGGCTGACGGTATTAATAGATTGATCCATTTTATATAATTGGTAAAACACTTAGATGAAATACTTTTTGTGAATCTACATCTGCTTTATAATCACTAGTTCATATGTAGTAAAATTTAAGGTTTTCCAGTAATTTCCTTAATAATATAAGGAATACGTACTGTTAAATAACATAAGTAATAACATCGGTTGCTTGGTGTTTATAGAATTATGTTTCATACTTTTAAAAGATACTCTTTTTTAAAAAAAAAATCAAGGTGGTAGACTCGGAAAAGTGAAGGGTCCAACGTTCCGAATATCAGGAGTACAAGTGAATGCCAAGCTAGTCATCTCCCATGAAGAAGAATTAATACCTTTACACAAATCCATTCCTTCTGATCCAGAAGAAAGAAAGCAGTGAGTTATTTATTTTCTCCATCGTAAGATTTTTGTTATTCAATAATTGCAAAAGGAATGTGTTGAATTTTTATGGTGTTACTGGCTAGTTTTGAATAAAATTTGAAGAAATAAAGCATATTTTGAAGTTCTAATGATTCATGTTTTTCAAAATTGATGTTTCAGTAAGGTGGTTACAAACTTACCAGTAGTTATTAACTTTAATGCCAGGTATACTATCCCATGCCACACAAAGCCAGCTCATTTTGATATAGACTGGGGCAAAGAAGATGATTCCAATTTGTTAATTGGTATCTATGAATATGGATATGGAAGCTGGGAAATGATTAAAATGGATCCTGACCTCAGTCTAACACACAAGGTACTTATCTATTTCTTGATTCTGTTGACCATTCATATTGAATTTAATTTATCCTAATTCTTGCTTTTAAATTATGTTGGAAATAATGGGAATCCAGAAACCAAGGCCCTAGTTAGTTGTGTGACCTTGGTGTGTTTAGAAGATGCTTTGCATGAAAGGATCAAATTTAAATGATTTTTGAGATTTTGTGTTACTGCGAAATTATATATTATTAAGGCATTAGGTGTATTATTTTTTAGATTATTAGATTAAAAGTTTTATTCCATCATTAACTTAAAAAAAATTACTGATACATAATAGATGTAAATATTTTTGGATGCATATGATAATTTGATACATTCATACAACAAGTAAAGATTAAATCAGGGTAACTGGGACATCTGTCACCTTAAATACGTATCTTTTTACACTAGGAACATTCAAATCCTTTCGTAGCTATTTTGAAATGTATAGATTATTGGTAACTATACTTATCCTAGTCATCTATCAAACACTAAGTCTTAATTCTTCCATCTAACTATATATTTGTACCCATTCATCATTAATTTTATTATTCCAGCAAAGAAAAAAATATTCTTAAAATCTTTTATAATATTTTAAAAACATCAGCATTTTAGTATTTTTGGTAATTTGATTACACTATGCTAGCTGAAATCAATTCTTTTTGCCTAAAATGAGAAACACTGGGAGAACTTTCTTATCATTTATGCTGATGTGTTGAAAACCTTTCGATATTGGTGCCTTGTCATTTGTTACGGTGAAGAAAAAATTATGATTTAGATCTAGAAAGATGACAACTTGTATTCTAGCAATTTTTGGGTAAATTATATTTAAATACACTTTTACTGAGAAGGGGAAGAAGGTGTTTAAGGATTATGTAACATTTAATAACAGTGGATGTTAAGTATATTTTTGTGTATTTGAAGGAAATTTACAACTTCATACTTTCTGTTTTCATTTTGAAATGCAGTAATCAGGGCTTTTTTTTTTTTAAAGTGTATTTAGAATTCTCAGAAAAATTAAACCTTTGGCTCTGGCATAGGTATAAAACTATATTTTGCGTTGAGTTCATTCCTACAAATATTAATAATTGAAACTTGGTGAACAAGTATTTTTATATGGTTAAGCATTTTTTAGCCAACAAATTTCTCGTGTTTATTTATTAAGACAATCTGAAAAAAATGAATTGCTTTTTCAGATCCTTCCAGATGATCCCGATAAAAAACCACAAGCTAAACAGTTGCAGACCCGTGCAGACTACCTCATCAAATTACTTAGTAAAGATCTTGCAAAGAAAGAAGCTCTGAGACTTTCTGGTGCGGTAAGTCAAAACTCACATGCCTACGAGCAGTTTACTTTTCAGTAAGATAAATTTAGTTTGCTTCAGCATGCTAAACATTTGTAGTCAATATGAGCTTATATAAATGGATTTTTCTGGCCGGGCGCGGTGGCTCGCACCTGTAATCCCAGCATTTTGGGAGGCCGAGGTGGGCAGATCGTAAGGTCAAGAGATCGAAACCATCCTGGCCAACATGGTGAAACCCTGTCTCTACTAAAAAATATAAAAATTAGCTGGGCGTGGTGGCACGCACCTGTAGTCCCAGCCACTCGGGAGGCTGAGGCAGGAGAATTGCTTGAACCTGGGAGGCGGAGGCTGCAGTGAGCCAAGATCGTGCCACTGCACTCCAGTCTGGTGCCTGGTGACAGAGCAAGACTCCGTCTCAAAAAAAAAATAAAAAATAAATGGATTTTTCTGTAATTAAGTAGTTTTATTTGATGTTACCATATTCGGATTTTACCTTAAATTGTCTCAGCATACATGTTAAAACTATATTTTAGAAGTAGGATTCTTTTTTTTTTTTTTTTCTCTAGTTTTGGAGAGGGATAGAGAAAACTCAGAGTGTGGAGTACTTTTTGAGAAATCAAGCACAGATAGTTGTTTTACTTAGAGTTGTTAAGAGTGCTTAAGGGACAATGTCATACGTTGCTAAGCTTACTGAAAAAGAGGGAAAAAGACACAAAAAAGGAGGTCATTTGAAACTTAGAGCAGCCTTTAGAAATTTGCCTATGACCATAATGTCGATAACTACCTGTGTAGTGTTAAAAATTATTCCTAATGCTGTTTCTTGTGCTGTTGAAGTAAGCTGAAGGTGATAATAATCAAAGAGTGTAAAACATTTGTTTCTACTTCTCTCTGATCTTTTTTTAAAGGAATAATAATTGGTTTGTCTTTATTATTTACATTAATATTATGTTTGACTCATTAAGTTATATTACTTTTATTGAGTTTCTGATGTTAGTGCAGCTTATTACCAGCAGACTAAGGATCAGGTAGGAGTATGTGTTTTAGCCATTAGATTTAATGTTTATGAAGTTTTTAAAAATGAAATATATAGAGTTGGTTAAAATTAAGTAATGATTTTTAGGGAAGTTCAAAGAGGAGAAAAGCAAGAGCTAAGAAGAATAAAGCAATGAAGTCTATAAAAGTGAAAGAGGAAATAAAGAGTGATTCTTCTCTGCCTTCTGAGAAGTCTGATGAAGACGATGATAAAGTAAGAATGTGTTTTAGAATAGCAACCTTTTCTGTGGAAAGGGAATATGCCATGTTTTTGTGTACTCAACATTTAAAATTTGAACTAACCCCTTAAAATTTATATTTTAGGTACTGAAGTGTGTGTGTGTGTGTGTGTGTGTGTGTGTGTGTGTGTGCTTATGGTTCATAACATAGTCTCATTTATAGAACAGTATTCTACCTATCCAGTAGATACTATATAGCACTAGAGACACAGAGCAAAGGTCCTTCCTTTTCAAACATTTGCCAGTTTGATGAGCTTCTGTCTCCTTTAATTGTATTATGAACTTGAATGGGACTGGCTTACCTTAGTTTATAGGAAGGTAAACATTGCATGTATCATTATTAGGGGGATTCTTGGCTGTCTTTCAGAATCCACATACATGCAATCTGTAGTCATGTGAAGAAAAGTTAGTCTTTGTTAATTTGGTTAGTAATACATTGGCCATACTTGCACTTTCCAGGATGAGATCAGTTCTGTGAAACATCCAAATAAAAAAATTAAAACAGAAAGAGACAGTGAAGAAAAACCTGAGCCAGATGTTTGTATAAAGAAGGAACCAGAAGAAAAGAGGGAAGCAAAAGAAAAGGAGAATAAAAAGGAACTTAAAAGGGAGATAAAAGAAAAAGAGGATAAGAAAGATATAAAGGAAAAAGATTTTAAAGAAAAAAGAGAAAACAAAGTAAAAGAAGCTATACAGAAAGAAAAAGACATTAAAGAAGAAAAGGTATGCAAATCATAATAAAAAATTTAGAAAGTAAAACAATCAGCACATTTACATTTTAGGAGACTAAATGGCCTATCTCAGCCTATATTAGTCTCAATAACTGAGTTCTGCAGAAGTATGTGTGGGTATGTAGTAGAGGAGAATAATAGGTTTGAACACTCTTTAATGCCTTACCTTCAGAGGAACATTACAGAGTAGCTTTGATTTTTTGTTGCCCCAAATAAAATTGGGGAAAAAACAAATTAAATTTTTAAGATGAAGATATTCAAAGAGAATGAGCACTTGTGGAATAAAATGAGACAGTAATTATTTTCTGGAAGTGTTACTCAATTTGCCTTTGTTGTTATTGGGGTTTTGTTTTTGTTTTCTTTTCACTTTTACTTCAGTTGAGTGAATCCAAGTCTGATAGTAAGGAAAGATCCAAGAAATCTTCAGCGTCAGATGCTCCAGTTCATATCACTGCAAGTGGTGAACCAGTTCTCATATCTGAAGAATCTGAAGAGCTGGATCAGAAAACATTCAGCATTGTAAGCAGTAGACTTTCTGATTATTAGTATTAATTCATATAACATTTAAGTTAAAGTTTGTCATTTAAAGGTTTTAATTTAGAGCCACATTTGAATCTATTGTAGTTTAGATTGATAAAAGCAGTATATTTAAAATTCGAAGGCTGTCTTAATTTTATTCTATTCTATTTTTGAGATAATGTCTCTCTCTGTCACCCAGGCTGGAGTGCAGTAGTGCAATCATGGGTCACTGCAGCCTTAACCTCCTGGGTTCAGGTGCTCTTCCTGCCACACCCTCTTGAGTAGCTGAGACTAGAGGCATATGCCCCACTCCCAGCTAATTTTTAGGTTTTTGTAAAGATGGGACCTTGTTATGTTACCCAGCCTGGTCTCGAACTGCTTGACTTAAGCAGTCATGAGCTATCATACCCAGCTGATGTCTTAAATTTAGAAGCAACTCAGAAAAGCTCTTTAATAAAAACTTTAAGTAGAGGGGTTTAACAAGTACTTTGAGTGAACTTTTTTTTCCACCAGCTTTAGGATTTCAAGTTTTCAATTCCCAAACGTCATTAAAAAAATATATATATGTATATATATATATATATATATATGTATGTATGTATATGTACACACACACATATACGTATATGTAATAGTGCTTCTTATCTATGGTGAAGGACTAGTTTTTTTCCCAGTCCTTTACAAACCATTATTTTTTTAAAAAAATACAGTAAGAATGAAATGTTTCACTAGAAAAGTGAAATAAGAAAAAATTATGTACAAAATATGAGCCTAATGTTTTGTTAGTACATGCAGTAGCTATAGAGTTGCATTGTCAAATTACTGTACAAGTTTCTAAATATGCTTAGTTTCTGTACCTGTTATTTATGTATTTGTTTTAATTTACTCAATGTATATATTCATTATTTACTGAACATAATTATATAGTTATGTAACTACTTAATATAACAATATGTATATGGTTAGTAGTACTGACTCTGGAGGCAGAATGCTGCTATTTGGAAACTTAAGTATGAAGATTAAATGAATTGGTACATGTAAAGTTTGCAGTTAATGCTGTCTCCAAAAAAAGCTCAGAAAGCTCAGAAATTGATAGTGGTTGTTGTATATGTTGTTCCTAAATTCAGGCATCTGAAGCAGATTGAGACTAAAACCAGAAAGGAATAGTAATTTTAGAGAAAAAAGACTGAGTAATATGAGACAGATACGGAGTTTTCAGAGCCTGAACTAGAACTAGGAAATACTTTCTTACAGAGCACAACTGAAGGAAACATTTATAGTATGATATATAAATGTGTTGTGTTTATATATAGTTACAATATACACAAATCTGTATATAAGTATATATTCCTTTATTTTCTCTTTAGAGATTTCTAGAATCTGAATCTTTTGTACCAGTTTGAGCAGTTAACATACTTCAATCACGTGTTAGACCTGGGTGTCAGTTTTGTCACTAGTATTAATCAAATCCTATACTTGAAAGATGGGAAATTTTACCTTCTTAAATTATATTTATTTTCAATCCATTATGTCCTTCTAGATCCCCAGCTTACCCTCTTGTCCTGCTTTTCTTCTTCTTTTGCACTGTGATTAGACAATGTTGATTTAATGGACCCACTGATGTATTTCCTACTGATTTCACAACAAGCCCTAATAAAGTTCAAATATTGTTCATGCTCTTAAAATATATTGGTTCCTACCACAGTCTTCCTGTTCTCCCTACTTTGAGCTGGTGACATTCTTCCAATCACTGAGAATACTGGAGATATTAAAAACTGCTGCGGCTCCTATCTTCCTTGTATTTAGTTGTGTGTATTTATCTCTTCTGCAGGTTCACTGGCTGGGATTTCTTCTTTTTCAAAGTTACCTTTTTTTTTTTTTTAAACTTACTCTGGGTGAGAGTGGGGTGAAGTGGTATTCTTTTGCTTTTTTGAAGTGAAAACATTAAACTCTTCACTTGAACTACTTCCCCTTCTCTGTGTTCCACTAATGAATGAGGTGAAATTGTGCCTATTGCCACTACCCACCCCCCCCACCGACACACACATTTCTTTTTTAGTCTTCTTTTTCATGTAACTATTGGAATGGAAAAATTCCTACTATATGCAATGCATGAATTCCCTCCCCTTTAATCTTAAATGATATTTTGTGTATTACGGAAATGAGGAATGGAATAATTTTTAAACGTGGACTCTGGAGCCAGGCTTTCTGGCTTGTGTAAGATTTTTACCTCTAAGTAAGGAATTCCATTGTATTTGAGAATAGCTCTGAATATTTTGAAATTCAGTTGCCTTTCTGAGTCTTCACTCTATAAACTTATTTGCCTCATTTGGCACCGTGATTTTCATTATCTTTTACTGGTTGTCTTCCTAAATGACAGTATAACTTAGCAGTCAACGAAAAAGCAGAGTCTAAGGTCAGTTAGAGCTGGGTTTAACAGATGTCATGTTTTTCTAAGTTTCAGTTTCTCCTATAAAATATATTAAATACTATTGCAAAGGACTATTGTCAGGGTCAGGTGAGGTACATGTAAAGCAAAACCCACTCAGCCTCTGGCATCTAATAAGTGCTTTGCAAGTATGAGTCCAGTTACTATCTTCAGGTGTCAGCCTTAGCATAGTTTTTAGTCATCAATTCTATTGGTTTCCCCTGCTCACATCCAGTCAATGTAACAAAATCCTGTTGGCTCTACCACATTGATCTTAGCATAGCCATCTCTTTTTCTGAGTTATTGCAGTACCTTCATATGCTATTCTCACTGCTTCCTCCCTGCGCATACCTCAGTGTGGACTCCACATAGCAACCCCAGTAATCATGACTTACAGGGATAATAAAGGCACACCATTATATTTCTGTGTTTAAAATGCTGCAATGGCTTTCCATCTCATTTAGGAGAAAAGATTCTTAACAGTCTGAAACCAGCCTGGTAGCATCTAGTCAACTCCCATTATCACCAGCCACTTCTCACACTCACTTGGTTCCAGGAACACAGGCATCCATACTTTTTTTTAAAGACATTTCAAACAAGTTTTAGGACATTTTTGTTTGTTTTTTATTCTACTTGGAATGGCTTACTCCTTCATTTTCTTTAGGTGTCCTCTCAAATGTTGCCCTTCTCTGAAATCTTTCATAAGATGGGAAGCTCCCTGCTCTTTCTTGCTTTATTTTTCTTTATTACAGTTGTTGTCTAACACATTATTTCTTGTTTATTTACTGGCTGTCTTACACTAGAGTCCAGGTTCCATAAAGGCAGGATCTGTTCTACTTGCAGCCCGATTTTCTGGATCTGGAACAATGCCTAGAACATAGTAACACAGTAGACTTATATATGTTAGATAAATTATTTTCTAGCAGAATATAAACTGCTAAAGTTGAACCAAAAATGGGAAACATAAAGAACAGCAATGAATAACACTAAAAATTAGAAAGGAAATTTAAGATTTCCCCTTCTTAAAGCATCAGATCTGAGTGAATTCTAATTTTATTTATAGTAAGAGAGGTTCATCAGAGCAGTGGTGTAAGGACTTATTATTTTCTCTGTTTTGAGATAGGTTCTTACTCTTGCCCAGGCTGGAGTGCCAGTGGCATGATCACAGCTCATTGCAGTCTCAGCCTCCTGGGTTCAAGCAGTCCTCCCACCTTGACCTCCTGAGTAGCTGGGACTACAGGTGTGCACCACCATCCCTGGCTAATTTTTTTTTTTTAATAGGATCAGGGTCTCACTGTTGCCCAGGCCGATCTCAAACTCCTGAACTCAAGTGATCCTCCCACCTCAGCTTCCCAAAGTCCTGGGGTTACAGGCATGAGCCACTATGCCTGACCTAATTTCTTAATAAATGATGTTGGATAATCTAAATGTATTGTCTGATGTTGACCCATCATCCTTACATTCTGAGAACTAAACCAACGTGCTTTTTGTGAATATAATGTTTAACTTTTTTTGTGTTTACAAATTTTATCTGAAGTTTGCTTTGTTAGTAATATTTTTATTCTGACTTTGATATAAGGTTGTAGTTCTTACTGCTACGATAAAACACAATTCTTAATATGCCATCCTTTTATTAGCATGTCAGGAATGTGCAGCCCAAGGAAAAGGTTACTCTTTGACCCTCTACTCCCCAACCACCCAAAATATGAAGAGCAAGTCATTATTACCATCTTCTGTTGTCCCAAATGTTTGAAAGAATAGACAATTTATACATCTAGCTATACTGATTATAATAGTTTTGCTAAAATTGTTTTACTCTGTATTACAGTGGATAGTAGGATATTGTTATGCTCTGAAAGATTTTACTATTTTTTAATATTCTATATTTAAGACTTCTTGTAATAGTGTGCTACAGTTTAAAAAGTAACTATTTATGTAGAAGCTAAGTAAATCCAAAGCTTTACTTATGCAAAGACTAATTTTAAATGATAACGGAAAGGTTTGCTTTCCTGAAAAAAATCTAAAGGGGAAAGAACCCTGTTGTATTAGATTTGTGAAGTGAGATTTAATTGCTTATTTTGCTATCAAACAATGTTACAGTATTATACTCATGTAAGTATCATTAAAGGAGGTAGATCTTGTTGAATTTATATTTTAATACATGTGTTTATGTTCTTGTTTTCTCATTTTAAAGTGTAAGGAAAGAATGAGGCCTGTTAAAGCAGCTTTGAAACAACTTGATAGACCTGAGAAAGGCCTTTCAGAAAGAGAACAACTAGAACATACTAGACAGTGTTTAATAAAAATTGGAGACCATATCACAGAATGTCTAAAAGAGTATACAAATCCTGAACAAATTAAGCAATGGAGAAAGTAAGTGATACACTTTTCAGGAAGTGTTAATTATGTATTATATAACCCTCATCTGTATTTTGTTTTCTTTCCTGATTCTGAAATTTAGGTAACAAGATAATGTTTACAGAAGTAACCTGAGGATGATTGCTTTAATTTTTTTCCCTTTAACGTTTTTTATTTATGAATGGTTAAATATGTATCATGGTAGGTAACATGTCATCTCTGAAAGCTGTTTCATTAAAATTCAGGTTGCATTTTTTTAAAAAAGTCTTTGCAATTTACCAAATTAATCTCAGTAATAGCTTTTGAAATTGGTATTCCCACAGAGTTTATTGTTTCATGAATTTAGCAGTTTACCTCCTGTATACATGTATAAAGATGTAAAAATGAACATCCTCAAGCAATGTAAAATGCAAAAAAATTAGGAAAATAAAAGTAAGGTGGTACATTATTCTTAAAGCTAAATTTAGCTAATAAGGATTTTGTTAAAATTATTCTTTACTTTTTTTAGTGTAAACATGCTTGGCTTCTGTCTTTCACGTTAAACAGGAACTATAAAATTTGAAAGCCTGGTAACTTTCATTTCAGTAATGCCTTTTGCCAAGAATGGATTATCATTTTTGGAGGGCCACTGAATGAAAATATTTAGTTGTATATTACATACCAATTTTTAAATCCTTATAATTAGGGCTTAGATTTTTGAGGTTTGAAGAGTTAGAATGGCCACCTTACCTGTTTTCTAGATGAGAAATAAGGAATATCTTACTGAAATTACACGGTGAATTTGGTTGAAAGTGAATTTAAAAATGAGCAAAGAATAAAAGAATTTGAATTAAAATTTTAAACAAAATAAGAAATTACACAGTGACTAGTACAGATAGGTACCATTTCAAATTTGATATGTCATTAGGAAAGGGTGGGGAAACCTTTGGAAGAAGAGAGACTAATACCCAGGAGACTTAACTTTTTCATTCTGTTCTGTCATTTTACATCCAAAAGCTATGCTGTCACCTTACTTTTCTTTACTCAGTTGGGCAGATTACCTTTTTGGTTTCCTTGTTTTGTTCTCAGTTACCTTGATTTAATATTCCTTGTTGTTCATTCCTGCTGCCACTATCCCTGGTTAAACCAAATTCCCTCAAGGGGGTGATGGGGAAGGAAAGAACTCAACTTGGGAATATCCTATAAAGTAAATTAGCTTTTGCTGTCTTGTGAAAATTTTGATTGATTGATTGATTGATTGACGGAGTCTTGCTCTGTTGCCCAGGCTGGAGTGCAGTGGCACAATCTTGGGTGCAGGCTCCACCTCCTGGGTTCAAGTGATTCTCCTGCCTCAGTCTCCCTGGTAGCTGGGACTACAGGCCCACACTTGGCCAGTTTTTTATTTTTAGTAGAGATGGGACTTCACCATGTTGGCCTGACTGGTTTTACACTCCTGACCTCAAGTGATTCCCCCCACCTCAGCCTCCCAGTGTGCTGAGATTACAAATGTAAGCCACTATGCCTGGCCTATTTTTATTTTTTGAGATGGAGTATTGCTCTGTCACCCAGGCTAGAGTGCAGTGACACAATCTCGGCTCACTGCAGCCTCTGCCTCCCGGGCTCAAGTGATCTTTCCACCTCAGCCTCCAGAGTAGCTAGGACTACAAGGCGTGCACCACCATACCCAGCTAAATTTTTGTATTTTTTGTAGAGACAGAGTTTCGCCACATTGGCCAGGTTTATCTCAAACTCCTGAGCTCAAGTGATCTGCCTGCCTTGGCCTCCCAGAGTGCAGGGGGAAATTTGTTTTTTTACTGCCGAAACAAGGAAAAAAAGTACCTTATATTAAGACCTATCATTAATTGGCTGACCCTCTCCCCTCAAGAACAGTTATTATATAGAATGAAGGAAGTTGGAGAACTAAGCTACAATTATAGAACAGTTGGCATTAAGCAAGTGTTACAGTAGTTATCATAGTGACCTTTATTTTTTTGCTTACAGTGTTTCTTTCAATATATTTTTTGACCAAATTTCTTAAAAACAACTGAAATGCAACAGTAGTTTTTATTTAAAGATCACTATAATAAAGTGATGGCTAAAATAGAATGTACATTTCTACTGTAGTTGTCTATCAAATATACCTCATTCTAGCTGATGCTTTTAATAGTATTATTTGTAGGAAATATGAACAGTTATTTAATCAGTTTACACAAGAAAAAAATAGATTCAGATGAAAAGCATTTTAGGGCTGGGGCTGCTGAATGACAAAGGAAATACCTAGGACCTAAACTCATTTTAAAAAGGCACTAATTCTTAGGTTTGTGTAAGTGCTGATGTTTGTCTCAGCTCTGAGGCTTTGTTCAAGATCCGACAGTTGTTCAGATGATATGATTAAAAGTGGAATCTAATTCTTGACTAGATTTTTTAGGGGAAAATATATTTTTAGAAGGAATTTACTTGTGAACAAAAGGTACTTCATTAACTTCCTACCTTTTATGAGTTAACTGTGGAATGTAGATATGTTTGAAATAGTCTGTGAATTTATATAAAGGCTAGATGAATTTTCTCCCTTCTGTGGATTTCAGTTCAGTAAGGTATCATTCAGTATATTCTCTCAGTAAATTTGCTTTTAAAATTTATTTCAAGGTAAATATACCTCAACTGTATATTTGAATCTTCTGGGGACTGCTACCCTTAGAACTTAACATTTCTTTTCTTTTTGGAGATATATCTGACAATTACAGATGTTAAGTATTTAAGGTATATAGTTTGATAATTTGATATACACATGCATTGTGAAATAATCATCACAATCTATGATTAATTATTGATGCCTCCCTTGGGATGGGAAGAGATACTAAGCTGTACCTCATTTATGGTGTTTGGTCACGTTACTCTTGGGATCATTGCCTTACCATTATAAAATGACAGTTACTTTTTAATGCTTTATTTAAGACAATTCTTTACAAGCATAATCCATATTATCTGATGGCATTTCCACTCCATCTATACCATACCTGTCCCTTATATGTGTTATCAGGATCACAATATGAATCTGAGTCACTTCCTTAATTTATATCTTTGGTGCATTTCAAATTAGGATTGATTACTGCTTTTCATTCCAGTGACTAAAATGAAGTGACTTCATTTTAGTAAAATGAAGAGAAGTAAAATTTAATGTTTAGTTTCACTGGAGTCTTCTTCATATATGAAGTTTTAAAAAATACATAGAAGAATTAATATCCTTAGAGTTTGTTACATAGAAGGCTGTGTATGTGTGTTTCTATCTGGAGGGAAGGAGTTCCATGAAAAAACTAAATATTTGCCACCAGACTAACTTAATTTGCCTTTTTTTTCTTCTAGAAACCTGTGGATATTTGTATCTAAGTTTACTGAATTTGATGCAAGAAAACTACATAAATTATATAAGCATGCTATTAAAAAACGACAGGAATCTCAGGTAAACTTGCCATTATATTTTTTTCCTTAATTTATATAATTAAAACCATGAGACATTTTTTTTTTTTGAGACAAGGTTTTTGCTTTTGTTGCTCAGGCTGAAGTACAATGGTGCGATCTTGGTTGAACGCAACCTCTGCCTTCCGTGTTAAAGCGATTCTCCTTCCTCAGCCTCACGAGTAGCTGGGATAACAGGCATGTGCCACCACACCCAGCTAATTTTGTATTTTTAATAAACACAAGGTTTCTCCATGTTGGTCAGGCTGGTCTCGAACTCCCGACCTCAGGTGATCCACCTGTGTCAGTCTCCCAAAGTGCTGAGTTTACAGGCATGAGCTACCACACCTGGCCCAAAACATTCTTTTTACAAAACAATTCGATTAATAAATACAGAATGAATGAGAGAAATTTTAAAAATCACCATTGAATACCACAGTAGTAATTGTTGCAGGCAAGATTCACAGAAGGGAGGTAAAATTAATGGGCAAGAAAATAGATATTGGCAGATCTCCTCTGAAATGTTTATTAATTATAAAGGGAAAACAGTAATTTTATAGAGAAAGTTGCCTAACCCACCTTAAGCAATCAAGGTTAATGTCACCAGTAGTTTAACACATATCAGCATCATGAACCCTCTGATAACAGTGTACTGAGAAAGGCACATCACCCATGTGGAATTCTTGCCAAAAATATATAATATAAATGTTTTTATGTGAAAATACCAGATAAGTGCTACTTGAGGGATGTTCTGTAAAATAAAGAGTGCTCGGGTAAGGAGCTGTTACAGAGGAAGACATAACAACTAAGTGTAATATGGGATTCCAAATTGAATTCCCAAGAACATTAGTGGAAAAATGTGAAATCTGAATGATGTCTGTACTCAGGTGTTACATCAATGTTAATTATTTGGTTTTGATCATTATACTATGTTTATATGATAGTAACATTAGGAGAAGCTAGGTGAAGGGTATGTGGAAACTCAGTATTATTTTTGCAACTTTTCTGTTTATTTCAAAGTGAAAAAATATCTTTAAGTCATGGGTCAAGTAGTTTATACTTTAAAAAGAGAGATCTGTAAACGTCATACACACACACACACACACACACACACACACACACACACACACACATAAGCACACATTCTAATATCTTATGTGAAGACTTCATTTAGTATCAATACTTTCTAAGAATTATCTCTTCTGTTTAGTAAGTTTGTGAAGTCACCTAAAGATTCTTACACATGTGTGCATTTGTTTTAGCAAAACAATGATCAGAACAGCAACTTGAACCCTCACGTGATTAGAAATCCAGGTATGTAAGCCTTACTGATTGTTTGGGAAGATAAGCTTTCTTTAAGTTTTGTTTTGAATAAATCAAATGATAAAAAAGGTTCCCCCGTGTTTTTATTTATAAGTACCTTTATATTAAGGAGATATGATAATCTTGATACATACCTACATTATTATATAAAATATATTCTCTTAAACTTTACTTCATTTTAGTTTATTATCCTTTTACTAAATCATCCTTTTCCCAGTTTCTAGAAAGTGTAGAATAACTTAAAATGAACAAGTGTTCTTTTTTATGTAATTTGGAATAGTGATGCATTATTTCTGTACAAGAGTCACAAAAGTATAATCTGAGAAAGGAGGGGGTCCCATAGTTTTTATTTTTTATTTATCTCATTTGAGAACCAAGCAACCCTTTTTAATTAAGCCTTAGTACTGCTTTTATAGACCATTTCTAAATGCTTTAGCTGTTTGTATTTAGGAGCTAATTTTGTTTTGGCAAGAGTTGAAATGAATTCTTGTTACCTATCAACAAAGCTTTTTTTGCCACATTGTTTTTAAAGCCATTAATAAAAGTTGTACTTTCTTATCTAACAGATGTGGAAAGATTAAAAGAGAATACAAATCACGATGATAGCAGCAGGGACAGTTATTCCTCTGATAGGCACTTATCTCAGCACCATGATCATCATAAAGACCGACATCAGGGAGATTCTTACAAAAAGAGTGATTCCAGGAAAAGACCCTATTCTTCTTTTAGTAATGGTAAAGACCATCGTGATTGGGATCACCACAAGCAAGACAGCAGGTAAACTTGGCAGTCACTTTAGAAATTTTGCTTATGCATGTCCTTTTTCTTTTTATGATGTTGCTGTATTTGACCTATCAGCTGATTCAATCTGCATGCAGTCAAAACGAATCTTGTGAAATAAAGGTGTTGTTTATAATTAAGAAAAATTTATATATTATCTTTCAAGAACTGAATTTGTCTATAAAATGGCTTTTGAATTATGAAATTGAGATCAAAATATATGGTAAGAAAGTTGATGTAGGGAGTTGTATAATTATAAATTGAGATTCGTTGTTGGTTTTGGAGAATATTGGCTGAAAAACTCTAAAATGTAATAAATGGGATAAAATAAAAGCTTGATAAAATGATTCAGATTTGGTTTAGGAAATTGTGCATTCCATGTTTTTAAAAAGTCAAGAGGGGAAAAATTGATATATGTGAACACATCTCATTGAGTTTAAACTTAATCTCAGCAATCTGGAATATTCTTGGAACCAGAAAGGTTTTTGTTTATTGTTGTTTTTTGAAGCCTTTGAACAGTAAGCAACCTCAGTGTAATAACATCAACACTTTTTATTCCTTTATTGATAAAGAAGTATTTTCAGTAGTTAATGATCATTACTAAAAGTAAACTTGAAAACTGAGATTTATAGTATTTATGCTTTTATAGTAAATAGAAGAAATAAATTAGAAGACATTTTTTGTGTGTTAGTTGTATTCACTACAATAATTTAAGAGCCCCTGTCAACACTATGAATACATCAGTTGTAAAATGGCTCTTATTATTAGAAAGGGTCAAATAAAAGGAAAAGGCAGATTTGTAGTAGTATATAATTTCACAGGTTTATACAATATAGTTATAGCTTTTACTAAGGATCTTTAGTCAACAAGAAAGAAACACATTATCTTCAGTGTATTTCAGTTTGGAAAAGGCACTCATTTTAGAGAATACTTCTCATTAAACTGCCACACTTATTTTTTGTCAAGCTGCCACATGTATATATGGAGTAAATTTCTTAATGACTCGTGTCAAGTCTTACTATATAACTAGTCAGACTTGAGGAAGCTTTTAATAGGCATCAGCAACCAAAGAAAATTCTGTTTCACAGATTATTTCATAGACTGCATTCTAGCATTTTTAAACTTTTTCCTGCTTTAGAGGTTGATAAAAGGCTCTGATCTCAGAAGTATTTCAGATACTTTTAATTATCTTAATTTCAGCTTCCAGACAATTAAGATGCAATCATATAAATGACATGTAAAGTAAAAGGCAACTGAGTATCTAAAAAAGCCATGTGAAATTAGATGCTATCTTAGGGGCTTTGTGTGGCTCACTTTAGTTTTATGAATCAAATAGTTTTTCCAAAGAGATATTCAGTGATTTTTTTTTTTAGTGAATTTGATAAGTTTTATAATGAAACACTGAGCTTGTGTACAATTAAAATCAGGCTTTAAAGTATTTTTATGTGTTATGTTTAAAGTATTTTTATGTGCTAAAACCTAATAAGCTTTTATTTAGAAACATTTTAATTTGCATTATTAACTTGACAAATTCTTAATTTCTCTTTATTAGATATTACAGTGACAGAGAGAAACACAGAAAACTGGATGATCACAGGAGTAGAGATCACAGGTCAAATTTGGAAGGAAGTTTAAAAGATAGATGTCATTCTGATCATCGTTCTCACTCAGATCATCGGTTACATTCAGACCACCGGTCAAGTTCTGAATATACGCACCATAAATCTTCCAGGGATTATAGGTATCACTCAGATTGGCAAATGGACTACAGAGCTTCCAGCAGTGGCCCTAGGTCACCACTAGATCAGAGATCTCCTTATGGCTCCAGATCTCCATTTGAACATTCAGTTGAACACAAAAGTACGCCAGAGCATACCTGGAGTAATCGGAAAACATAACAAAAACTGACACTTCGTCTTTCTGGACTTTTCTTTTAGCCATATATCATAAACCAACACAGTAATTGCCTTACATGACTTGAAAGATATAAACAGATCTTCTATCAGTAGCAGTATTGTTACTTCTTTCCAGGATGCAAGGTCTATTATCCCAACAGAAGAGAAAATATTTTTATATTTAAGGATTATGCTGCACTGTACTACAAATGTAGTACTTTTTTTTTTTTTCTTTTTTAAAGAAATGGAAAATGTTTACTATTACAGGGACCTCAACACTGCCCTCCCATATAGGCTGGATAAAACTGTTTTTAAGTCAGTGATTTTAGACTGACCTCCATTTAAATTATGTTTATATATGAACTTTACTCTGACCTGTGATCATGTTTCAGGAAGGAATGAAAGAGAGTTCTTTCTTAATAAAGAAAAACACTCAAGGACTTTGTTCACTTTCCAAAGCTACTTGTTTACATTGTACACTGCGACCACCTTGCCGCTTTTCATCACAAGCTTGAATATTTAAATTCTGTACTTATATATGTAAAATAGCCAGGAATTTCCTGTTTGTGATCTATTATTATGCCTTTTTACAAAAAAAAAAATGGCTGTAAATTATTGTAAATATTAAAGGAACTTTCCTTACTTCCTTCCCCTTCTCAGGCTTTTTTTGACTGTTTCTTTCCCTACCAACTCAGGCCTTCTTATTAAAAAAAAAAAAAAAAAAAATTCAGTGTAATAACACTTTTTAATGATTTGTCTTGATGGAATCATTGTTTAGAATGTAAAAATGGGGAAAGGGGCCACTTAATTCCATTAGTCCTCTTTTTATACTGAATATTTTATTAGATACATGTTACTCCCTTTTTTTTCCTTTTTTAGTCAATATTGTGTTTGTAGTTTTAAAAAATGGTGAGATAATATGTAAAATCTAAACTGCATGCTCTGGAAACTTTTTTTTCAGATGCATCTGGTTTAAAAGGGTAGGTGTATGAACACTTTTCAGAATCCAAAATGGCCAAAAGTTATTGTAAATCCATTTGTTTTCCCTTTTCATATGGGCAATAATGTCAAATGTGCTATGCAGCCAGGTTAACATTTTAGATAAACTTGATTGACTTTTAATATAAACTGTTACAATGCACACTGATTGTACATAAAAACCTTATATATGACAAATTAAATTTAAGAAAAAGGATTGTGGGCTCCTGTAATTTTCTGCTGCATTCTCATTTAACCCCCACCCTGTTTTGTTTTCTTTTAAGTAACATTTTGCTGCCAGAAAAAGTATTTGGGAAGCAGTTGAATATTTGTAATGTGTAACATTACAACTAAAATCTTGTTTTGGAGACTATGAATATTCCTATGGAGTAAAACTTAGGTCATATAAGTTTTTGTTGGCCTCTTGGCTTCCTACAGAGATTATTACAGGATGCTTTATATTTATTTACAGATTTTTATTTTGTTATATTCAGTGGGAATTTTTAAGTCATGTGGCACACGTTCTTGCATGTATGCTTTGATGTAACAAATTTGAATCTTTGATAAATATAAGTATGTGGACATAATTTCTAAAGTATTCCTATGTGTGTCACTATTAGCTGTGGGAGCAACCTGCAGATATTTGTCCATAGATGTATTTTTAATGTTTTCCTTTGTCCAGTTAGGTCTATGTGTATAAAAGAAAGGTTTTTTGTTTTTTTGCGGTAATTTCTTTTTTTGATACAGTTACCTTGAAAAATGATACTTTGTTTCTTTTCTGGTATATAAGATAACGTGAGTGAATAGCTCAGTTTTTAAAAACAATTATAAATAAATATAAAAGTAATGAAAGAACTTAGTCCTGGCACACATTTTCGAAACTTTTTCACTTTTCTCTACATTTATTTTATTCCACAAGAGAGCATTTGACTAAGTCATAATGCTTAAGTCATAAGATCATGGCTGGCATTTTTTATTACTTTGTAGCTGGATATTTGCATTATATTGTGCAGATTTCACAAGACAACATTGCATTTTTTGAGATAATGGAATGGACTCTAATTTTTTAAACAGTGCTACATTAGGTTGAAAGATTCAGTCAGCTAGTTAGCTGAGTTGAATGAAAAATACAGAACTGTATGTACATTTATCAAATGACAAAATGTTCATTTTTTGTAAGGAGTCGAGAAATTAAGACAAGAACATTAGTTCATAAATATAGCAACATAAAATATGCTTATTTTTTGTCTTTCACATGCTCATTCTGCTTTGTTATTTTTATGCAGTTATGTTTAATTTTTTAGGATGAAAGGTTATGCATAGTACTGTACCAATTAACCTTCCACTCATGCAATAAATGATTCTTACTAAAAGCAATGGCCTGTTTGCTTATAAAGATATTCTTTGTTTAGAGTATGTTAGGAATTTTTAGACTATGGAACATGAGTATGAATAATTTCATTCAGAGTGAGTAGCTTAACAAAATGCAAACCTATTTCTGTTTATTTAGAGATGGAGTGTTACTCTGTTGCCCAGGCTGGAGTGCAGTGGCACGATCTCGGTCGGCTTCCTGCCCCAGCCTCCCCAGTAGCTGGGATTACAGGCGGACACCACCACGCCCTGCTAATTTTTCTATTTCACTGTATTTGCCAGGCTGGTCTTGAACTCCTGACCTCAAGTGATCCACCCGCCTCGGCCTCCCAAAGTGCTGGGATTACAGGCATGAGCCACCATGCCCAGCCAGTGAGAATCTCTTTAATTTTGTATGATGTAGATTATGTATAATTTCTTTTTTTGTCATTAATAAAATGAAAAGTTTGAGTAGGTTATTCATTTTCATGAAGTGTGTCAAGAATATGCTTTAAGGGTAGATGATGTGATTTTTGTCCCTATCTCATTACTATTTCTAACTAGAAAACGATTTTTGGACCCCAAGTTAGCTGTCATAGCTTTATAAATACAACAGCTTTAAAAAGGGGTAGGAATTTGGAAGAGCAACTAGTATTTAAATATGGGATTTTTTAAGACTTCTAATTTCATAGGAAACTGCAAAAATATTTTAAAATACTTAATATGTAGAAGCACATTAATATAGATGCCTCTTAAATATACATTAAAGAGTCAATTTTAAAATGCAAACAAGCCTTGGATACATTGTAGCATCGTACAATAATTGTAATGAATGGAGGATGTTATAGAGGAGGCAACTAGATAGCAATGCAACAACAAATATATTGGGATAGTGTCATAATGTGTTAAAATTTCTAAGACATTCAATTACAGATACCTGGAAGAAAATTTGAGATTCTATTTTTTTTCTGATAATAACGCCATAATTAGTAATTGATTCTGTAGAACACTTCCTGCTAATTTTCTTAACAACAACAAAAAAGGACCTAATAGGTTGATTCCATTACAGAAATTCCTTGAATTCTCAATATAGGAAGATCTAGGAATAGGAAATCTTAGCTATGTAAAAGGATGAAAGATGATATTACTTGGAAAAGTAGGATTAATAAAATTTAAAAGATTTTTCCAAGTACTTACACAAATTCTCTAATGGGGCTTCATGTGCTGGATTTTCTTCATTAAAAGCCCACTAACCACCCTGCCCCTTAGCTTTAAAAAAAAATACACCTATATTTGAAACAAAATTTGTAGTTCAGACTCTCAAATGAATGAAATAATTTTAATTCCATGTTCTCCACGTTTGAGTTCTGATCTAAATATGAAAAGAGGTCAGAACTGTCTAATGATTCTATTAAATGAACTAAGGATATTGTTTGTGTTGGTGATATGCAAACTCCATGTGGCTGAACAATGTGGGTTGTATTGTCATTTCAGTATTGTAGACTAATATTAATTAGGTTTCCATCTAGAATGAGCTACAGAACTGCCAGTTGTTACTTTTCTTTCCCTTCTGTTTACTTTTCAAATATTTGCTTTGTCACTTATGTTCTGCAGGGTGACTATATTAAGTCCTGGTGTGGTGGTTTTATTTTATTTTATTTTTATTTCTTTTTTGATCAGCTGTTGCCTCTCACCCACTTCTTATTACTTTGTGGAATTCTATGTCATTGCTATCATAACACTTGATTTCTGATCTCTTTCTCAACAGCAGTACTGTTTTATCCTTCCTGTTTCTAGTGCTGAATATCTTCAGCTTCAACCACTACTCTGAACTCATCTCCACTTAGATAGCTAATGGATACATAATCTTTAATTATGTAAAACCAAACACAACCCTTTTAACAGTAATGACATTAAAGTTTTAAAAACTGTGAGGCTGGGTGCAGTGGCTCACGCTAATAATCCCAGCACTTTGGGAGGCCAAGGCAGGTGGATCACTTGAGATCAGGAGTTCATAACCAGCTTGGTTAACATAGTGAGACCCTGTCTCTACTAAAAATACAAAAAGCAGCTGGGCGTGGTGGTACATGCCTGTAATCCCCTCTACTTGGGAGGCTGAGGCAGGAGAATCGCTTGAAACCCAAGAGGCAGAGATTGCAGTGAGCCAGGATCATGCCACTACATTCCAGCCTGGGCGAAAGAATTAACTAGGGTCTTTGATAAATGCATTCACAGCTTTCTGCCTAAGACACTTCCCACTTAGCTATTTCTATTATTTTTGCTTTACTTCAGTCACAATACAAAGAAAATACTTGTTGATCTTTGCAGTGTTGTCCCTCTATTAAAAATGCTTATCTGTGATTTGTACAAAACTCGTTTCCTCAATTCAGGGTTCAGCTCAAATGTTATTTCAGGTCTTGAAGTTAGTACCCTGCCCCATCATTTTTTTTTAAATCCCTTGTCTTGCATTTTCTTCTAGCATTACCACTGCTTATATATTTTGTTCATTTATAGCAGTCAGCTGCCATTGACTGCTTCCCCACTAAAATATAAGTTCTATAAGGGCGGGGACTTTACTTTGTTCACTGCTATATTCTCCGTACTTAAAACAGTGCCTTGCATCAATTATATTGTTTTCATGTTTTTAATGTCCTTCCCAGAAATTGTATGCCAGCATTATCAAATTTTTGTCTTGCCATTGTTAACCTAATTTGTTAGTATTATTGGAAAATATTGTATGCCTTACTATCATGAATTTTTTTTTTTATACTTTAAGCTCTGGGGTACATGTGCAGCACGTGCAGGTTTGTTACATAGTTATACACGTGCCATGGTGGTTTGCTGCATCTATCATCCCATCATCTACATTAGGTATTTCTCCTAATGCTATCCCCCCCAGCCCCTCACCCCCTGAAAAACCCTGGTGTATGATGCTCTGCTCCCTGTGTCCATGCGTCCTCATTCTCATTGTTCAACTCTCACTTATGAGTGAGAACATGTGGTGTTTGGTTTTCAGTTCTTGTGTTCGCTGAGAAAGATGGTTTCCAGCTTCATCCATGTCCCTGTAAAGGACATGAACTCATCCTTTTTATGGCTGCATAGTATTCCATGGTGTATATGTGCCACATTTTCTTTATCCAGTCTATCATGGATGGACATTTGGGTTGGCTCTGTTTGCTATTGTGACCACTGCTGCAATAAACAAACGTGTGTATGTGTCTTTATGATAGAATGATCTATAATCCTTTGGGTATATACCCAGTAATGGGATTGCTGGGTCAAATGGTATTTCTCGGATCCTTCTCATGGATTATTTGAGCCTGTTTACTAACTTCCAGTTTTTAAACTTGACTGATAAAAATCACTTGAGGTACTTGAGAAATACAGAAAAATGTAAGTTTTATTTCTAGGAATTAAAATGGCAGGGAAAGGCTCCAAGCAATGAGATTTTAATATCTGTTTTGTTGACTTGAATAACTAATACAGAGGTTAATTCCACTGTTATAAATAATATGCTTACACTTAAATGAAAAATTGGTTTCTGCAACTATATGATTACTTAGGAAATATAATTAATACTTTGCAAAGAGGTATGCAGAAATATGTTATATAATAGGAAACTATAAGACATTTTGATTTGTCTATTGCTTTTCCTTTTTTATGAACCTTCTTCATTCTTTTTATTTTTTAAATTAAAAGTGGAGTCTTGCTATATTGCTCCAGGCTGGTATCGAACTCCTGGGATCAAGGCAATCTTCCTGCCTTAGCCTCCCAAATAGCTGGGAGTAAAGGCTCAAGCCATAGTGACTGGGCTGTCCATTTCCTTATCTTTCAAAATGAAGTATGTTTTCAGATGGTATGATA